CATGAACCAAATATTTACAAATTAATTTTCAAACTAATTGTTTAAAAACTCTTTGATCCAGATATTTTTAGAAAGGGCTGCTACTGATATTTCGTGCTGATGGAAACTTTATGTGTTATATTTTTGTTTTCGTCAGCATTTGATACTTCGCCTTGACACGAAATTAATTCAGATACTGATAAATTGTTTGCTATAAAGAATTCGTTCAAATTCTCGGACGCAAAATCCACATATGTATGTACATTAGGGTGGTTAAAAACCAGTTACGTCGGAATTGTATTGATCTCGTATCCTAGGATTGTTCTATATCGAAAAAAAAGTATACCTCTATTTTTTATTTTGAAATCAAAAAATATTTAGAGGTCGCTCAAAGCGCTCAAAGTTTTCCATGTATTTTTATATGGGGTGTTAAAAATTATCATCTAGCATCACTGATATTTGGGCATCTGGCACAGTCATTATACATACATATGTCGCGCCATTATACAGTCGCTGGAATACTGCTACGGTAAGCTTAGGTTTGGTGTTGCGACTTATATTTTTAATAAGTTGTGGTCGCCCAAAGAAATATTAAATTCAAGCGAATTGCATTTTTCTGAATGTTTAGCAAGTTCCTAAACATGGGAAAAAAACCACTTTTCCTAGAAATGGCATCGAATTTTGGAAAATCAATCGATCGGAAAACTCTGGTTCACTTCTGGAGACTTTCAATAATAGTACGCAATTTGTTATTTAAACATTTATTAATACTAACGATTGTTTTATTGGTCCTCCTTTTGCATTTTTCGGGGTTTTTGTGGGGCTTTGGCGGACCTATAAATTATAGTTGCGATGAAAAAATGGTTAAATAAAAAATTTGGTTATTATTACTGGGAATCTTTAGCATTTATAAAATAAAATCAATTTTCCAAAAATTAATTTGGCTCATATTTAATCATATTGCCTTTGAAGGAAATCAACACTGAGTAGAAGGCGTTGAATTCGCGATATTTGTCAGCGGTCAGATTTGATAAAAATTTTTGAACGTTTGTAGGTTAACTTCATAAATAGAAGTATCCTTGCTAAAAATGAACTCATTAGATAGTGTCCTATATTTGAAATGGTTTATTGCCTTGAACAGGAAAGGCCTTAATCATTTTGATCGGAACATAAGAAGGCAACTTCAGAAGGTAAGCTTGGTTTCAATAACAGAAACGTGAAATCGGATTTGTACTAACTGAATTGCACAATAGGCTACATATCTTTTACCTCCCGCAAAGCAGTAGCTGTAACACAATATCGTAGAACGGCAAATTCACTACAGCGAATTTCGCCAAAAAATTAGGAGATCTGCAATTGATCAAAATCGAAGAGAAATGCATAGTAAATACGTTCGGTGCGGTCTAGCGACGATAGATTTATTTCTAATTATCGCCAACGCTGGGCGTTGGCAGCGGTATATGCAAAAGGTAGCCGATTTTTAATATTTGCTTTCAAAGTTATAGAAATACAGTTATCGATTCGTTCAAGTCGGCTTTAAATAAAATAATTTATAATTTTCCATTTTTCCCCATTGCAAAAAATGGGTAGTTTTTTTTTTAAATATGGCTAAAAAACTATGAATGCGACGAATGCAGGGCGAACGGTGAACAATGGCATCGCTTAATTAGGCGAACTTCACCTGCTCTGATACGTACATATTTATTCAAAAATATTTTGTGATTTTCTGGAAACATATGAAATTTTCTGTGTTCTTTGAATATATGTATTTTTTTTTCTCTTAACAGTCGACTGTTTACATTAAAAAAATGCATATTTGAACTCAAAACAAAAACTGACTGAATTCGTAAATCCATATATCCTTTTTTTTTTTGTAAATACGACATTGGGCCGTATGAATACAAATAAGCAATTGCTTTTTTTTTTTAAGTTTCAGACCTTTTACTCAATTTATGTAAAAAACAAAATTTAAGTAAAAGGTATGCAATTTTAAGAAAAAGCAATTGCTTAGTTTTTATTCATACGGCCCATTTTCCTCTTAAAATACAGATTTTCATTAATTACTTCAGTTGCTTTTCGCACTTCGATTACTGATTACATTTATTTCGATTTTTTAAAAGTGCAAATTTTAATTGCAAAGCAATGTCAAATAGCAATATCAATTCACATACATATACTTACATATAAAATTTATAGAATCCTAATAACGGAAAGTGAAGCGGAAGCACCGCAATAAATTTTATGCTCTAATCTAAAAGTCAGCCAGCCAGACTGAAACTGCCGACGGCGGCCATTTGATTATTTAGAATCGAATTTTTACTATGTTCTAAATATAATAATCGATTGATTGGCCAGCCGAAATAGGTTGAATTTTGCGGCTGAATTTTGAGGATAAATGTGCTTGAATGCGTTAAAATATTTGCATGCTTTCTGCATAGAAATGCCTAGGAAGGGAAATATATGTATGTATTTAGTTTTAGCATAAATTGGCAATATATAAATGTATTTGTGTGTGTGTGTGTTTGTGATGCGCTAATAATAACTACACAAACATATATATTTTTTAAATAAAATATGCAACAGACAAACGAAAGTGTCGTAAATATATTGGGCTTAGTAAAATGACAAATTAATAGATGCAAATGTGAGCAGCCAATACAAAAAAAAAATATAAATATTTAAAATGAGTGGGGATACATAGATAAATTTAATTTTGATAAATAGAATCAACTATAAAAAGTATATGATTTTAGTACTATATTATTTTAATAAGCTTGTGTTCGTAATTCGAATTTTTTCTATGCTTTGACAAAAACTCGCAACTCTTATACATTTATTTACTAATTAAAATTTTTTGTTTTACTAAATTGGTTTCAATATTAATGCTGGTGAATTCTATAATCAACGCTTATCATTTTAATTGCTGCTATTTTATGAAAATTATTGTTAAAGCTTTTATTTGTTGCAGTTAATTTCAATAGCATAACTAAATCAATATATTTTCAATAAAATATTAATTAAAAAACTAAATTTACAGATTATTTGCTTTGAAAAATGAAAGAAATAAATTTAGAAAGACTACAATTTAATAAACTTTTGACCGAATACATGTTGTTTTTATTTTTAATAAAACTCAGTCATAAATGAAAAAGTTGTTCTTTAAAGAAAATGTGAAAGAAATTATTAATGAAATGAATGGCAAAAAGTTTCCTGCAAATATTAAAGGCAATTAATTAATTTGAAATAAAGCAAATACTCGTATATGTATGCGCTTACACGTGTGCTGCAAAAACGTAAAAAGTTAGGATATAAAAATAAAATATAAAAGTCTCATGTGACTGAAAAAAGTAAGAAGTAGAAATAACAAAAAGTTGCACAAATCCAAAAAAAAAAAACCGTTAACCCTAAAAAAAACCAAGGATTCCTAAAGCATTACGAAAGTCTCAAATAGGTCTCCAAAAAATAAAAACAAAAAATCCGAAAGATACGCAAATATCGAGAAAGGTCTCAAAAATTCTCTAAAAGCCCACAAAAAGTAAGAATGGAACACAGAAAGCCATATATAATCCTGAATGGCTCGAAATGGCGCGAAAATAAGCCCAATAAATCGAAAAAACTGTCGAATTCCGAATTTATCTTGAAAAGTAAGTCTCGAGAGTTCACAGACACTCTTCATAAATAAAAAATCTCGAAAGAAAATTTTCAAAAGATTCCTAAAATTTTAAATCAGTAAATCACATCCATCAAAATATCGATAGTAAGACAGATAAAAATATCGATAACCAAATTGATAAAAGTATTGATAAACAAATCGATAAAATAATCGATAAGAAAATCGATTAATATCGATAACCAAATCGAGAGATACGAAAACAAAATCAATAGATATCGATTAAAAAATCGACTAAATACCTATTACAAAATCGGTAACAAAATCGACAAAGATATCGACAACAAAATCGATAAAAATATCGATAAGAAAATCGATAAATATCGAAAGCAAAAGCGATAAAATTATCGATAACAAATTCGATAAAGAATATCAATTTTTTTTATCGATACGTTCCGAGAAAACCGAAAATCTCTAAAATCCAGAAATAGTTCCCAAATTGAGACTCTGTGTATCTACATGTCTACATACGTGTATCCTTTTCTTTATAATTACCTTTGTATTAATCTTTTGTCCCCTATCTTCATCCTTACTTTTATCTATATCCTCATCCCCATCTTTTCTAATATTTATCTTTATTTCTACAAACAACAAAAATCCAGTAAAAAAAGACAGTAAAGGAATCAAAAATTTACCGTAAAAAGCGAATCAAGGAAACCCCAGAAAAGAAAGTTTCCAAAAAATGCAGAAACAAAATGTTGCGGAAGTCCTATTAAACAAAAATTTTTTAATCTTTTTCCATCCCTTAAAGATAATATCTGGCCAAAAACTGCCAATCAAATTCAGATGAAAGGCCGACAGAAATGTTAAAATCAGGATTGGATGAAGGGCTCATCTGCGTAAAATAATTGCATGAAATTACCTAAGTCCAAGGATTGAAATCTTTGTATATTTTGTTCCGTACTGAAGAGGGCAGACCTTACTATACGCCTCTACAGGGTTCTTGTAACTGTGTTTCGTACACAATTGGAACCTTATGCCGACTTGCCTATTGGACTTTATCAATGGCGCTTTTGACCTCCTCTATGCAGACCAGATATTTTCACTTCGCAAAATCTTGGAAACGGCCGATGAGTGTTCAGACTTCAAAAGTACCGTTAATTATATCTGAAATCGGCATCCAAAATGCCAGTTTGTCCGCTTTACTGGGCATTTTAAGGAAAAAGGTTTGCCATTTTTATTATTTAATATTTTTTTTTTAATCTTTTTTGTTATGTCTTTATTCTAGTTCTTCCTAGTCGATGCTTGGGATAAACGTCAAATTTTGGTGGTGGTTTTTTAGTACTTATTTTAATAAATTACTACATATCGGCTTAAATTTAAAAACTCTAATTATTTATGTACATATAATTTAAATAATAATAAGGTATGCATTCATCATGCTTTAAAAAAGTATAAGGACTAGTTAGTAATTAAATACATTTAAGTACCTAAGCAATAAAACCTTTGGTTAACCCTACGCTGCTAATACTACGGTTTCTTTTTTTTTAAGCTAAGAAAATGCATCAACCCATTTTCTCTCCAACTTTTTATAACTATCCAATCTTCTGCTCCTTCTACTTCTCACATTCGCTACCACATTTCGCAGCGCTGCACTGCCTTCATGCGACTCTTCGCCGGGCAATCGAACGCCTCCAAAAATTCTGGCATCTGTGCCAACGTGTAGTTCAGCCGCACCGCGTCCGGGTCATGCCAGGCATCGAGCTGCTGATGCGTAGCCTCGTCTGTGTTGCTGCAGAAGAATTGTGCGAACTGCAAGAAAAACAAACGCCCATGGCTGCGCAAAAATTGAGCATCGCGCAGAAAGGAGTTGAGCGCCAAACGCGTGCCACTGACGTCAGCAATGCGCTCGGAGAGGAATTTGGTGCCTTGGCTGAGACATTGAACGTTGCGCGCAAAGTTAACATTTGACTCGATGCGTTTTATCATCAGCTCGTTCATGTTGCCCGCATGGTCATATTCGAGGAATGTGCTATCGAAACTGTGTATGAGCTCATGACCCAACGTGTTTGCCAGATCGCCGTACAGCAAAATCGGCCAGAATTGACGATCGTAGAAGGGCGTTTGCAAATAGGCGTGCGGCACGATAATCATGTTGCTAAGGCAGAAGTAGTAGGGCGTCGAATCCAAGCTGTCGAGAAACGTGGGCGCGTGATAATTGAACGTGTACCACGCGCTGCGGCTGTGATTTTTTGTCGCGCTAGCAGCCAACCGACGCAGATGTCCGTATGTGTGCGCCAAAGCATGCAGATGGTTGCGATAGAAATTGTCGCTGCTCACATTAAGCTGCCATATGAGATCTACATAGAAGGAAGAATTGACCGCGGGCGGCATGTTACCCAAATTGAGGCGCAGCGAACTCAGCTTCTGCTGCATGTATGCAACTATGTCAGCTTCGAACTTCATGCGATTGAGTGCAAGCGTTCGCGCAAACTCCGCCTTAAGCTGTGCGAATATCGAGCGTATGATGCGATCGCTTTCGGCGCGCACGGGTGCGTAATAAAAACGATCATAGGCGTAGCTCATAGCAACGGGTAGCAGTTTGCGCATATGGCGTATGCAAGTGGCGCCGCTTCGGCCATTGCTTAGGGGATTATGTTGCTGCTGCTGCAGGTAGCCGAGAAAGCGCGCCAGCGAGTAAAGGAAATTAATACTGGCCGGTGTTTGATTGTGATAGAGCGCTAGCTTGCAGACTGTTTCCGGCGAATCGACGCGTATGCGATCGGCAGCGTGTAGATGACGTCCCAGCGGCACGCCTATAAATCGCTGCCAGTCCACCTCGCTGCAGCGCACCGTGAGCTCTGCAAAGGTCAGCGTCTCCACAAGATCGCAATCTTCTTCAGAGCTAATGGGTATCGATGTTTGATCGTCGGGCAGCAGTGGCTCATCTGCTACGACGCCAGGTGCCGGCGTTGCGCTGCGCAGCGTGCTGTTTTTCCCCTCTCCATTCACCGCGCACATGCTACCCACTATCGCTTCCAAATCTGCTTCCAGTGCGCGAAACTCTGCAGCCAGCTCAGCGTGACTTTTGCTTGTATGTGCGCGCAGCAGATCGTAAATTTCCTCTGTCAAATTAAGGCGCTTATGCCCGTCGTGAGGCAGCACAAAGAGATCATGATGCGTTGCATTCTCTTGCCGTACACTAAAGTAGACAAACTGCTCACCATAACCGTAACGCGCAAAGTGTGCAAGCATTTCCTGCCAGTTGTGTCGCGAACGCAGTACGCCGTCCATGCGCAATTGCTCATAATAGCCACGCAATGTTAGTGGCGCGGTGTGTGTACAGACGCGATAGTATTGCAACAACTTCGAAAGTATTAGTTCATAATCTTCAGCTTCCGTGCGCGCGGCATAGACATCCCCTGGTACTTCTTCTGCATGCACCGGCGCTTCCAACTGCTTGCGTTTTCTATAAGTTGCATGCAGTGGTGGTGTACGCGCACCATGTGCGCTGCGTATGCGTGCGCGTCGCAGTTGCTGTCTTTGCCTTGCTCTAGTTGCGGCTGCCAACACTGATGCATCAGCGCGTCTACCATTCAACGCACGCTCAAAAAACTCTACATAACGCGCAGTCAGCGATTCCTCGGCAACCTGCATCATGCTAGCGGAAGTATTGGGTCCACTTGGAGGCACCCAATTGCCACACGCATATGTATGAAAGTCATCGCATGCATTCACAGTCCAATCGATGTTACGCTCCAACTGCTCGAGGTGCTGTTCGTTGAGCGTGTCATTGCACGAGCGCGATAGACACGTTTTATTCACGTGCGCCCAAAGCGGATGTGCCGCTGCCATTGTTATTGTGGCGGCATCGGCTAACAATGTGGGGCGCGGTACTGCAGTGCGGGCCATTGACGTCAGCGATGTCAGTGTAAGCACGTGAAATGTAATGCTTATCAGTTGAAAACCGTGCGATATGTGTTGATACAGTTTCGCTGCCAGTGTTGATGACCAGCGAGGGCGACGGCGATGCCGACCTTGTATTACTCGCATGTTGCTCAGCGGCTCTGTATGGGTTTGCAAATTATAATTTTTTTTTTGCTTTTAAGTAATTCGAGACTGTATGCGGACGTTGACGCGTCGTCGCTTTGTTGCTACACGCTTTTTTAAGCTTTCCAAATTTCGCTTTGTAGCGTTGTCTGCGCTCTTCTATATTTTCGTTCACGTTTCTTTTGTGAGTCCCCTTTTTTTACTGTGATCAGCCTAAACTGTACGAATCTGTACTCGAATGTATTTTTTGTAGTTTTAGCAATTTTTCCTCATAATTTCCACTCATTGCAATTGCTCTGATGCTGTCTCCACCGCTGCTGCCACCGTTGCCGCACAGGTACAGTTCTGTATCGCCGGGAAAATATTTCGCCTAGTTTTGTTGGTGATTTGAGCGCCTTTTGTGACAGCTCTTGTTTCTACAATTTCATCACTTTTTTCCTGTTTTCTCCTTTTTATACGTGTGCACTAGCCCTTATTAGCTCAGTTGCAACCGCGTCTAAATTTCTATTTTTTTTTTGACCACAAACGTTGTCGAACCGTTCACTACGGGTACTTTCGTTCTTACTACGCGGTGATTATGTTGTATACCAAATAAATTTAAAATTTTTAAGTTTCAATTAATTTCTATCTTTAATTTTTAAACTTGTTGCTCGCTTTGTTGCTAAAACGCGACTGAATAAAACTGCCGATTTCGTTTTGTCTTCAATTGCAAAAATTGGCTTTCGGTTTCGTATGACAAGTCAGCGCTCATTTACACACAAATATGTACATACATGCGTACATACACAGAGACGCGCGCCGGTACACAGCAAACATTTACCGGCTTAGACCGCCGCCAATGAAAAGTCTTATCGCGGCGTGAGTGTACACATACATACATTTACCGAAGAACGACAGACATTCACATTCGCACAAGTTGTACAATATGCGCCGCATTGCGCCGCGCCGTGCCGCTTTATTTGCTTTTGGTCGCTTTGTCTTATCAGCGCACAATTTTTTAATGCCGCTGCGTTGATTTTATGCGCGCGTCGCCCTATCGTCGCACTTATCTATGCTCATTTCCCTATGCAATAAGTTGAGTCAGACTGGTTTTACACGGCAAAAAAATGTATGAATGAAGTGGTAATGATGCAATATTCGGAATTGTTAAGTGATACTGTAAGGGGGGCATGCCAATGAGACGACATGACACTGGGATTTTGGGGGTTATAGAAGAATAGCTATAGAAAAATATGTAATACGTCTTCTTATTTTTTGAAGAGCGATTTTTGATTGCATGCGAAATTGGTCGAAATTTCGAAAATCTAAATTAGAACTACTAAAAGTGATCTTAGATTTTAGAATTATGATAACTAAAGTTTTAGAAATTTTAAGAACTATGTACACCGACATATAAAAAGTCGAAATTTCCGTATATATCGATAATAATATCTATAGATATCTAGTTAGAAAGCAACTATAAACATAGCGATAAAAAATAGACAAATAAATCGAAAAAAAGCGATAGCTTTGTCTATCGATAACATCCAGTCGATTCGAAGAGTATGAGGAAAGCAATTAATAGCTTTTGTCAAAACGATAAAAATTTTAAAAATTTTATGACTTTACCTTTTCGATAAATTTTTGATGGTTATTTTTTATTTAAATTTTTTTGATCAGGTTAAACCTAGCGTCTATTATAAATACTAAATTGATAGATTTTTTTTTTTTATAAAAAAAAAATTATCACAAATTTACGATCAAATTTTACCAAAAAAAAAAATAAAAATTTTATTCAACGATTATTCTCTATCGAAAAAATAAAAATCAACACATGCCGAATTTCCAATGATCTTAAAGTAAAAAATTTGGTATTTAATGTTTTTATTTTCGTCCCTGGTTTTTATGTGAAAATGAATTAATCTGTGCTTCAGCGATTATCAAATCGTTAAAAGATTGATAACTTTTTCGATAACAACAAGAAAAACTTAGCTGATCCCTATACTGATATTAGGTATCGACGCGATGACAATAAGTTTGACGATTGTAATAACCGGAGCCGGTAATCATTACAAGTACGTTAGGTTAGGTTAGGAGGGCGTGTTTGGAATATTCCATACTTTCACTCGGAGACAGAATTGTCCATTGTTAGTGCCCTCTTTAGGCGAGTGTCAATAGGAGACAAGTACCTATAATCGATAGAGCAGCTTCAAGTAATTATTCTACTAAACCAATTGGTATCCGTAATGATGACGAAAAGATCCAGCAGTTCAACCTCCGCTATCTCGCCCACACTGTTAAAGAAGTGTAAACCCAAGTGCTTGAGGCCTTTCGTCTGTAGACATCGACATCGACATTGAAAGTGGTCAATTGACTCTTCCTCAGTACTTATTGGTATTCGCCACCGTTGAAGCATTGGTGCTCTCGCAGTTCTATTGAGTTTTAGTATGTTTCTACTAAGCCGCGGCCTTAATAATCTTGTGATCACACAGTCTTCCCGTTTGTTCAAAAGTCTTTAGTCACAGCCACCGTATACTCATCAATTGTCCTAACCTGATCACTAAACTGAGCTATCCGCTTCTTATGTTGGGATCCTTGAGCCAAAACTGACCATCTGATCAGCTGACTCATTCCATTCAGTATTGATATGTCCTTGTTCCATTTTTGAACCATCTGTGTTGATGGATATATCCCCCTCTGCTACTGGCACTCCTACATACCATTCATCTCTGGTCGGGAACATAATGAGTACCTCCGTATCGAAGTCCCAAACAGGCCTAATGTAATCAGTGCTGGCTTCTATGTCAGCTTTAATTCCATTTAGCCGGCCCCTTTTTATTTCATTCAGTTTGGCTGCATGCCCGAAATTGATTGCCATCTACGTATTGGCCACACTGAGCCTGAGGGCGCTCTTTGCGGCCATACCATGGATGAAAATATGCGACGGTGGCAAGTGAAATATCACGTTATGGTGGTAAAATCATTATCATTACGGCAACTAAATGCATAACCGCCAAAACTTTGCGTATTTTGGTTTCTAATACGATAGTTTAAGTTAGGTTTGGTAGAAGCCCTGAGTGGGGGCGTTCGCATGCATCACATTGGCATCCTGGCACAGCTTGGGCTAGAATAATATGTTATCGATTTTGTAGTCAATATTTTTAACGATTTTGTTACCGATATTGTTATTGATTATTTATCGATTTCGTTATAGATTTTGTTATCGATTTTGTTATCGATTTTGTGATCGATATGTTGATCGATTTTGTTATCGATATTTTTTTCGATTTTGTTATCGACATTTTTATCGATTTTCTGATCGATTTTTGCCATCGATCTTGTTATCAATTATTTATCGATTTTGTTATCGATATTTTTATCAATTTTGTTATCGATATTTTTTTATTGATTTTCTAATCGATTTTCCTACCAATATTATTATCAATTTTGCTATCAAAATTTCTATCGAATTTGTCATCGAGTTTGTTATCGATAAAGTATAGATAAAAATGAAGATAAAGGAAAACGGAATACAATAAATGTAATTAAAAAGAACAGGGGTACACAAAATATAACCTGAAGCAAAAACAGATGTATGAATGTATGTATGTGCATACTATATTGGTTATGAGACAACATAGATATGTAACGCAGATCTTTGGAAGTTTGTTGAAATGCGGGTTAATATGTTTATAGCTTATTCTAGCCAAAGTAAGGCAGCTGGAAAGGAAATGCTGAGGTAACTCCACTTCGTCATCCCCCAAACAGCTGCTGCATTAAAAGTTGAGAGAGAAATAAAATGTTTAATTTACCTAATCATTTTCTACAGTGTACAAGACATAATTAAATGATAGATACATTCAATGTAAAATAATTCAATTAAATACGAAAAAGTCGATAGCAATTGACATGAGTGTAAGCAAATGCATGGCAAGACACTTGAATGCTCTGTAAACAATATATGTACTTCTCTACTTAGCAAAGACTGAGGCACTTGCACGTAGGTGCGTGTAATCCCAGCGTTAACTACTGCTGACAATTTTTGCATGTGAAATTTATTAGCGCCGTGGCACGCCACTGATAAAAACCAAGCAGCGAAAAAGATAAAAAAAAATAAATAAACAAAAACACAAAGTGGTAGGTAAGTACATACATATGTATGTATGTGCAAATCAACTTCTCGCGGTTGTCATCAAAATGGGATGACGCAATTTTGCATACAATGTTGTAGTGAAAGTAGACGCAGCCACACGACGACGAGTCCAAAGATTAACAACAGGGCAATAAAAATAGAATAACGAAACTCTAAATGGATTCGGAAAGAATATGTAATTAATTTGAATTGTATCGCACAAATACAAATACAAACATATTTGCATGTACTAATTTCAATGAATGAGTTAAGGCGCAAAAACGAAATCGTAGATTAATTAAATTTAATGAAACAACACACAAGCACACATAGCACCCTATAATTCTTAAAAAATGTTTAAATGTTAATAAGCATTTTTGAGCCTCCGATTAATTGAAGAAAAAAATGCCATTGTTAGCCGCTGTCAAATTAAATTGGAGCAAGAAGCGCACAGATGGGTGAGGCGTTGCTCCAGCTGATAACAGCTTAATTTTGATTGCTGATTATAGTATTTTACTGTCACATAAAACAAGTTTTTAATAATTAATATTAAGTACTATAACAAAGCTGACAAACTGAGATATTTCCAAGCGCTTTATCTTTTTACAGGCACGTGAAATACGTTGTGAAATGCGGAGTGTATGATTTTTCGGTATTCAGTATTCAGAGGTTAGGTAGATATAATTCAACCAGAAAGACTAAAAAATCATAACTCATTTTAAGGTGGTGCAAGTTTTATATATCGCAACCCCCTTAAAAAACAGATTCGGAAATATAGCTACTTGTAGAACGTACAGATTCAAAGTATTTAATATAAAAACAGCTATAATAATAATTTTCTACTTAGATAATATACCACCCGGCCACCCCCACTACTCACTCAGTTTTTAGTCCAACGAACAGCCCACAGGGAGGCAACCCTCTTCGAAAAAATAAAGCGTTTATAATATGTAATATGCAAGATGATAATTTTTAAAAAGGTGGTAACCCCACTAAAAAAAAAAATAAAAGCTTATTGCATATCCGGTGACCATATACTTTCTCTTGGTATTTAATTTTTTATTCCAACCAACGGTGAAGTTCTTATAATAAACAGCTGGCAACCCTACTCAAAAATTAACACATTACTGAACATCTAGAGGCCAAGCCGCTTTTATTTGACACCTCGTGTTTCGTATTCCAACCAACAGCGCACATCTTATGATTTTTGGCAAAGGTGGCAACCCTCTTCGAAAAAATAAAGCCTTATTGCACATCTGAAGGTCAAGCCCTTGCCTTTCAAATATAAATTTTTAAAATTTAATAAACTTAAATTAAAAATTTAATAAATTTAAATTTAATAAACTGTGTATGTAAGGTAGTAATTCTTAAATAGGTGGCAACCCCGATAGAAACATAAGTAAAACCTTATTGCATATCCTTTCACTTGATACCTTATTTTTAAGTCCAACGAACGGTGAAG